ATAGTTCACACTGGGGAAGCTTGAAGAGAAATGATAAGCTGAAATGATAATCAGAACAGGAGGGAGGGGGTGGGGAGAATAATGAGCTTAGGGAAATGAGGATGGGCAAAAAGAGGCAAAGGACTTCAGTCTCAATGGGTTTATGTGAAGCAGACTCAATATACAAAGAGTTCTAGACCAGAGATTGGCAAACTGTGACCCACAGGCCAAATCTGGCTTACCACCTGTTTCTGTATGGTTGACAAGCTAAGGGGAGTTTTGACATTTTCTAAGGGACTTGGTCACTGATTTAAAAATCTAATGAAAATTTGCTTCCTTTTATGGATCCAGGGAAGTCCGCACTGCAAACGCATTTTATTATGCCACTTGAGCATTAAATTTCATTTGTAGATAGTATGTGTTTCATCATACATGTCAGTTAAAAATGAGATTCTGCCTTGCATAATCCTCAGAAAGAGATTGCCTTCTGGGGTTCTAGCAAGTCCCTTCACAAAAGTAATCTTGAGTATGGATGTAATTGCTACTGATGTTGATGATTTTGGCTGCTGTGTTTAAAAACTGACCAGCGGGGAAGAAAAGTAGACATGATAAATCCAATAAAGGACAAACTTCAGCAGAAAAACCAGAAGTGAACAAAGGTGGCCGAGGACTTGGGGGAAGAAGGGGAGTGAAGGGGGCAGGTGAAAGGTGAGGGGGCAGCCTGGGGCCTCTCAGGAACAACACACTCTCTTTCTCCTGAGAACGGAAGCGCTCCTTTTCCAGTGCCCTCTGGGTGGAACTTGCTGTTACCGTGCAGCTCCTTGAAGTCACCTGGAGGAGCAAGGACCTTGGTGTTAGTCCTTTGAGGACTACTGCCCCTCTTATCCTGGTCACAGCAGCAATCTTTCAACACTATCTGCAGATTTGATAGGGGCTTCCCTGGTGGCTCAGTGGTAAAGAATATGCCTGCCAATGTAGGAGACACAGGTTCAATTCCTGGGTGGGGAAGGTCCCCTGAAGGAGGAAATGGCAACCCACTCCAGTGCTCTTGCCTGGAAAATCCCATGGACAGAGGAGCCTGGTGGGCTACAGCCCATGGGGTTGCAAAGAGTCAGACACTGAATGAGCAAATGAGCACAGCGCAGCACAAGCAACTAAAGTCAAGGCCTGCAGGTTTGAAGCCCTGCTCGTCACTTCCTAGGTGTGGCCTTGGTCAGGGAGGTTGAACAACCCACCCAAGGGAATGACAGCGCTTGGACTCAAACTCAGGTCTCTGACTCGGGCCCAGCGCCCTTCTGCTCTGCCACACTTGCTCAGAGAATCCGTGCAGAAACCCCTGCTTCCTGGATAGGCTCATGAATTTCTTCTTGTTAATTTATTTCCTTCTAATATACTATGTAAAACCCAAACCTCAGTTTCCCAGTATTTGCTTTTTCTTTCTCTACTGTTTTTTAAGACCGTGCTGGCTGTGAAGGATAGCCATGTCTGATCCGGGGCGGAGGCACGTGGAGCCATGCCTGAGTTTAAAGCCCTGCTCATCACTTCCTAGGTGTGGCCTTGGGGATGTTCCTTAAGCTTTTGCTCTGGGTGAGGGTAGTCTGTTTTCTTGCTGGGAAGTGGGCATGACACCTACCTTGTGAGTTGTATGAGAACCAGCTCCAGGAAGGTGTCCAACATGTTGTGACTTTAAAAAAGCAGTGGTGGTTTATTCCGAGGTTGAGGCTCTGACTTCAGAGATCTGAAGCCGACTCCCAGGGTGTGTGAATTGGAGACATTTCTGAGAAGGGCTGGTGAAAATTAGGGGGTAGTGTCCTGGTTGGGAATGTATCAGGGTCCATGGCCATACTGGCTTGATCCTGGCTCCATACTGCATGCCCTCAGGAAGGCATCTAATGGCCCTGTTCCTTAGGCAGAAGTGTCATTTGTAAGATGGAGGCGTTAATGGCATCCGTTGTACTGTGAGCGTAGATGCCGATAGCACTTTTAGGTGAGAGAATAAATAAACACATGTAACCTGGTTCCTGGTACAAAGTTGTTTCATTATTACTTTCATTTTTGTGGGGATGCGGTTCAGGTATTTCCATTTCGAATTGAGTTTGTTAATCTATTATTAACAAGAGCCTAAACGGGAGGAAATGGGAAAGCAGCAGGCTGCCTTGACAATCTTTAAACAAGTGGAGCATACTCTCTTAGAGACAGTACCCAACCCTCTTGTAAAAACGAGGGAAGGACAGCAGGACTGAGAGGAAATTTTATTACTCTGACTTCAAGTAGAAGTAATGCTTTCACTGCCTTTCTTACCTTGGGCAAAAACTGAAATCAAAATCAAGGTGAGAGGCTGTGCTCTTGTTACACAGGAAACACTGTAATCTAACTTCCGTTTCCTGGGTAACTCTGTGTGTGTGCAGGTACAGCGAGATATGTCAGCCAACATAGAGATCAGGAAACCAGAGGGTTTGGGGCACTGTAAAGTCTAAGGAAAGCCCTGGATAAAAATATCCTCCATCAACACTTGTAATTGACACCAGGGAATTAGTATTCTGTCTTAATCAGGGACTGTGGGACATTGTGGAATGTTAGGATTCTGAGATTTGCTCATTACTGAATAGATGTTTGTTTACTTTTCCTTTATGTCTTTCTTTTTCTTTAACAAATATTCCGTTCAGTTGAGGCTGGTGTTCATCTAACTGAGGAAGTTGATGCTAACCTACTCAGCTATCTAGGGGAAAGGTTTGCCCTGTTCTTAAATGGAGCCTTGTGTTGAGAGAAGCATGACATCCTTATCGAGTGGCTTGGTCCAGAGCAGCCCAAGTCCACTACAGTAAAAAAAAAAATGGGAGAGAGGTGGACTTTGTAGTCTGATCCTACAGGCAAATAAATAAAGCATGAAAACAGGGATGGATCACACGTGTCAACAGGGCTATTTCCACTGTTGTTATGAACGGAATTTATGACACTGAGAAGGTGTTCTTTCATGACCTAGCCTCTCTTTATGTCTATATATTTTTTAAAGTCTTTGTTGAATTTGTTACAGTGTTGCTTCTGTATTACGTTTTTGTTTTTTGGCCACAAGGCATGTGGCATCTTACTTAGCTCCCCAACCAGGGATCAAACCCACACCCCCTGTACTGGAAGGTGAAGTCTTAACCACTGGACCTCTAGCGAAGTCCCTATGTACATTTATGGTACATAAGGTTGATTATGATTTAACAACGACTTGAGTAAATGACCTTCATAAATCAGGAGAAAAGACTGGCTCGATAGGGTGCTTTTTGAGACAACTATATTTTCACCTGGGTAGCTGAAAGGTAAATATGCTGGATTTATGTATTAAGGCCAAGGACTTTTTAATAATGATATGACATGAAATATTTTTTGAAACTTGCTTGTGGTTATAACTGCTATTTATTATTTTTTTTATATATAACTGCTATTTAAATCGCTACAAGAATTGGAAGAAAAATAGCTGTGATTGAACTTTTGTCTAAAAAGTTGTTGTCCTGCACGCTGCAACTGTTGAGCCCATGTGTCACAACGAGAGAGAAGCCCGCACACCACAACCAAAAGACCTCCTGTGCCAAAGCTAAGATTCGATGCAGCCAAAAAAAAAAAAAAAAAAAAAAAGAAGAAGAGATGTTGTTTGCTTGAAGACTTCTGTTTCTGGCAGTCTAATAGAAGAAGATACCCAGAATAACCCTCCCTGTAGCAATAAAAACATTAACATCTCAAATTAGAAAATATTTTTAAAATTAGATAAACTATTGCACTGTAATAAAGTAATTCCTAGAGGCCAAATATAAACTGAAAGCCTGAGCCCTGAAGGGTAGATGACCACTGGAGACAGCGTTTACACCCGAGAATATCTGATACACTTTGGGATATTAAACTTCTGTTTTATCAACTTCACAGGTTGAAGGGATTTAAGAAGATAAATAGCCCAAGGCCCTCCTAGGGTGAAGAGACTGCTAGGAGGACACCCTCCCCCATATAAAGCTGAGACCCAAAGGAGTCACACCCTCGGCATAAGGATGGATCAGAAATAAAGCCTCTGTTCAGAAGAACAGCAATCTGGCCTGTCTTGATCTTAGCTCTTGTGTTGGGGAGGAAATATCTCCCCTGAGAACCTGTACCCACAGCTATCCTGCGTGTGTTCTTTTTAGTTTGCTTTTCCTTCTTCCCATGAGATTTTTAAAAATTAAAGTTTTAAAACCTACAGAGAAGTCAAGGAAAAAGTACAATGAACGGTCCTAGGGTCACTAACTTCTCTATACTTATGCTAATACCTATACCTACACATATACATGTGTATATATGCATATGTGGGGCTTTCCTGGTGGCTCAGGGGTAAAGAATCCACCTGCCAAGCAGGAGACATGGATTCAATCCCTGGGTCAGGAAGATCCCCTGGAGAAGGAAATGGTAATGCACTCTAGTATTCTTGCCTGGGAAATCCCACGGACAGAGGAGCCTGCAGGCTACACTCCATGGGGTCGCAAAGAGTCAGACGTGACTGAGCGACTGAACCACCACCACTCTCCTATAGATGTTTTAACTCTTCCTTCCAATTTTGATTACCTAACATTTATTTTTGTTTTTACTGATCCTGGTTATCATCTTGTGTTCTTGTTCTTAAATGCTCTGGACAAATCAGATAGGGATAAATAAATATATAATTGAATGGGTCCATAAGTAAAAGTAAAATGATTGGAACAAATAAAAAATTGAAATCTGGAAAGGGTAACTACTGGGTGGACCAGAAAGTTCACTTGGGTGTTTCCATAAAACCCAAATGAAATTTTTTGGCCAACCCAATGTTTTAACTGCTCTTTAGTCTTCTTCGTTAGTGGAAACACAGAAGAGTGGTATGAATTAGTCTAGCTCTGTCTGAATCAATTCATCCAATGTTGGAATTCCAAGTAGTTTGTCTATGCTTGGGGTTTTAAGAGCTGCTAGTGGTGCAAACCACTAACAAGACAAGCAAAATCTATTATGCAAAAAAGAAAAGAGAACTTAGTACTGAGAACTTTTAGAGCTGGTAGTATTTTAAATATGAAAATATACATATATATGTTTCATCATTTATGAACACACTTTTTGTCTCTAAAGAAGAAATCGTAATGGAGGAAGAAGCTGCCCTCCTTTGATATAATGAAGATGATTATGGCTGTTGAATTTGTTGTAAGAGTTCATCTCACTTGATTCATTTTATGCTAAAAATAGCCTTCTTTTCTCAGAGCAATCCCACTCAAAAAAATCCGTGGAGACCTTCAAAAGAACACAGAAAATGAAATGAAATGAAACAAAACGACATTTTAAGACTACAGTGTGGGTGTTATATAGGAGGAGGCCAACAATGGGGTGACCCTGGGAATTAGGCTATGAAAAGAATTAGCCTTTAGCCAGCTGAGCAACATAATGGGTAAACCCAGTATGCAGCCACAGCTTGTAGAGTGCTGAGACTTGACTTTAACCTGTCCTCATGAAAAATTTTAACACATTTAAGGAAAGACTGGGACAGTCAGAAAGGGAATTGATCAGACACTGAGGTTTGGACGTGGCTGGTATGGGAAGAGTCAGTGAGGCAAAAGCTGGCGGTGGACACGTGAGTTGTCCTGGCCCCAGAGACAACCCCTCTGGTGCAAGGGGCAGGCAGGCCACATGGTGGAAATGGACGCATCAGGTAATTATAGGCTGACCCCATTAAACCTCACCCTTGTTGCTTGCCAAGCAAATTTCTGTTAAATTGGCTTCGTTGCAGTTTGTCTTAGAATGTGCCTGCCGGGCTGAGGCCAATGTCAATGTCTCATAAAAGACACCTTGCCTTTTAATGAAGACAAGGGCAGTCTGGCTATTATCCTCCAGCCCCCCTCCCACGCTGACAAGAGGAGCACATCTCTGTCTCTTAGGACTGAATCCCCAGCCTGGATCGTGGGTGCTTTCACCATGGAAAGGAACATGCCATTGGAAGCCAGGCTTCCCTGTGACACCTGGTGTCCCAGGCACCTTCTCCATGGACGCTGGCAGTCAGCCATTGTTTCACCATCACATATACAAGATCACTAGAGGCTCCTTATCAGAAGAGGGGATGTTCCAGAAGGGTTAGGGATGAAGGGTGCCTGGAAACATGGGTTCACCTCTTCCGGTATAGCTCACAGAGGTCCTACCCACCCAAGGGGAGGTGGGCATCAGACCTTTAGAGTGTACCCTCCTATGTCCCCAGGGGGTTACAGACCTTTACAGAATGTCTCTCACTCATGACCAGTTCACGCAAGGCCCAGAATGATGCACCTGCTAGGAGAAGTCCATTTCTGAGATTGTTAACTCCTACTTAGCTTTTGCTGCCACCAACTTAGTACTAAGTACTAAAGAAACAAAAACTTTCCCCATTCTCTAGTTTAGTCTTGTCTTTAATGCCAAAAAAAGTAGGATAGGGTAACACCTTTTTCCTGGCTTCCTGTTTTCTCATCTAAGTTTGGATAATGTTCTAAGGTTGAGTACTGAATGTTAATTATTTTAAAGGATGTAAGTTTTCCATTATAAGATTACTTACAGGAATGGTAACATTTCCAAGTTCTTGGGCATTACACATTTCCATGGGGATGGAGTGTTCTGGAGAGCTTGGCTTTATCTGTAGGTGGTAGAGACATAACACTATCACAGGAAGGGCCTCTGTTATCAAGTACAAGCCTCTTCTCTCCTTTCTGTATGTGGATAGGCTGGGGTTCCAGCAGGCTCACTTATCTCTCCAGAGTCAGCAGCAGACTAGGAGGAGCAGCCAGGGCTCCAGGCTCCTGGCACAGGGCTCTCTCCACGTCTCATCAGAATACAGTGCTTTAAATGAGGCCCTCCGTTTGACCCTCATGAGGATGCCAGGCAATAGAGGTGTATTCCATAGCTCCCTGCCTCAGTCTGGCTCAACTCAGAGTCTCTTCTCTACTCCCCCCACACCCCAAATTTCTGTACCTTGGGCTATAAACCCACATATGCTCACAAATAAATATGAACAACTATGCCATGGTATCAGTCATTTTCTTCCCCTCTTCCCCCAACCTTTGACAACAGCACACCCTAGGGCTCCAACAGCCACTTGATCTCAATCAGCCTAAGACTGCTGGGGCTTCCAAGGGCTGTGTGCCTCCACAGAGCACCATTCTGCCTCTGGAGTTATTTTCACATCTGCTGGGGACCACTGTCATATCTGCTGGAGATCACTGTTACATCTCTTGGGAATCATACTCATGTTCACAAGACACTACTGTCACATCAGCTGGGGACCACAGTCATGTCTGCTGGAAACCACTGTCGCATCTGCTGAGTACCATCATCACTGGATATGCTCACCTCTCAGCTGTTCTTGTCCCTCTTTTACCTCTCTTTCTGCCTCTGTGCTTTGTGGGTAGCTTCCTCCCTGTAATAGTTTTTGATCTTTAAGAATTAACAAGCTGAACAAACTCAGGCAATGATTCCTCTTCCCTCCTGTAATGTTACCCCGATATCCATTCTCCCCTTTTTCATTTTAGTCAAGCATAAAACTTAGTCAAGCATAAGACTCAGCTAAAGACTGTATCTCTCAGCCTCTTTTGCAGCTGGGGTGGTCTAGACATTCTAGATAAAGTGATGCAAGTAGAAGGGCTTTGTACAACTTCTGGGTCACATCCTGTCATGGATGCTGGTTATGCTGCCATCTGCCATTCAGGTTTGTTGACTGACAGCCCTCTTTGAGAATACCTCCACTGAAAAGAGTCATCTCATCCAGGGTCATGCCCTCTTCCTATTGATGGAGCAACTCACATCACTAACTGGTCAAGGGATATAAAGGTGATCCCATGGCGTGTAGCCTGCCAGGCTCCTCTGTCCATGAAATTCTCTAGGCAAGAATGCTAGTGTGGGTTACCATTCCCTTCTCCAGGGTGTCTTCCAGACCCAGGGATCGAACCAGGGTCTCCCACATTGCTGGCAGATTCTTCAGATTCTTTATCTGAGCACCAGGGAAGCCCCATAAAGGCATAACTCTCCATCCCAACTCTGAAGGGCCATCTCTGCTTCACAGTTAACTATCAGGTTAGTTGAAGTCAAGCAACTAACTGGCTGTGATTGTCCTGAAGTCTCACTTCTCTCTCTGCACAATTCTGCTTTCTTTCTCTCCCCACACAGAGGTTAATGGCAAGAGAACTCCCTAACAGGAAACTCCTTTGCCCTAATCCCCATCTCAGATTTCCTAGGAAACCCACCCTCTTTAAAAGAAAGTTATCTCTGCCTACTTTTCTGTAGGTGGGAACACAGAGAGGGTGGTGGGGAGCGATCTTTGACCATATAAATGAGGAAAATGCCTTACAAGGTGGCGGAGCAACAAGATAGAAAGGACATGGGCCCTTGGATGATGTCATCATGGTCAAGCTCCCCACAAACGCTGGACCACTGACCATCTGCATCCTTCTAGTCTGTTATGTGAGAGAATAATCATTTTTGGTCTTATCTGAGTCATTCTATTGTTGGGTCTCTGGGCTTCCCTGGTGGCTCAGATGGTAAAGAATCTCCCTGCAATGCAGGAGACTTGGGTTCAATCCCTGGGTCGAGAAGATCCCCTAATGAAGGAAACAACTACCCACTCCAGTAGTTTTGCCTGGAAAATTTCATGGGCAAAGGAGCCTGGTGGGCAAGAGTCCAGTCCATGGGGGTCACAAAGAGTCGGACATGACTGAGGGACTAACACACACACAGACACATTGCTGGATTTCTATGTTAGAGCAGTTTTGTCTATACCTTAGGAGTTGAAGAAGGTGTGATCAACTCGAGTCAGATAATTTAAGACCTTGTAGACCACAGTAAGAATTCAGGAATTTATCTTAGGGGCAATGGCATTTGCTGCATCCTTAGGCATTGTGTATACTGTTTGTCTAAGAAAAAACTCTGGAACTGAGTTGCTTCACTCTTAGAGTAGAATTGCCTTGACATATGTTTTTAAAATAGTAACATTAACAGGACTATTTGCCTAAATTGAGTTAGAGTGCATCAATAATTAGGAAATTTTTTGCATTATCCTTACAAAATACAAATTTGTAGATTTCAAATTAATAAAGGCAGAATAAGAAGTTGATGTATTCTCTTTGGCATTTTGTTTGAATCACTGTTCTTTTGAGTCTCTCTTTACTGGAAGTAGATTTTATTTTCTTTTCCCCTCCAATCTGGCAATCTTGCAGAACTTGAGTGGAAAATAGGATTATGCTGAAAATTCCTTGCAGGAAGGAATGATTAGTGGCTCTATATAACTAAAAAATGGTAAATTGGAGCCACAAAGACTTGAAAGGTCAAGTCTTTAAAAACTTCTCTGTAATATGTGTAACCACACTACTTTCTTGGTTTAGACAGCAAACTAAATTCATATGTTTTCTTGGGGGAAACAGAAGCAACACCATTGTAGCAAAATTCCCCACTGAATTGTTTTCTGAAAATCAAATAGTAAACAGCTTCCCCAATCTGGTTCGCCTCACATCTCTTGGCAATTTATTGTTTTTGGACCCACAGACATGACTATTCAGCTAGGTGGTCTGGGTTGGAATTTCAGTTATTGCTATCCAAATAAAACACTTCTTTTCCAGAAATCAGAGGACTGTACTAACTGTTCTCTCAGAGCCTGGATGAAGACTATGTTGGGAACCTGAGCCTTCTTTCGAGTACTTTCTTCTGTCTTTTTCTCTCAAAGGGGAAACAGAAGCATCTCTAACAGAGCCCCAGGTTATAAAACAATCCCATGTCTACCTGCTCAACTGCTCAACCATCTCTCATGTCTTCCATTGGTATCTCTCCCAAGATGCTTTAAAATGAAAACTACATAAAATAAGGCTTTCCTCTTCTTTCTTGAAGACCAGGACAGACTAGTTTTCTCCCAAGGTATACTTACTTATAAAGAAACTTCTTTCCTCAGAACAGTGGTTCTGAACCAGGGATGATGTTGTCCCCTTACCCCACTCCCTGGCAGACATATAGCAATGTATTGGAACATTGGTTGTCACAGCTGGGGGATGCAACTTGAATCTAGTGAACAGAGGCCAGGAGTGCTCTAAACATCCTGCAATGCCCAGGACAGCCCCCAAGACAAAGAATTATCCAGCTCAAAATGTCAGTAGGGCTGGGTTGAGAAATCCTACCTCAATAAGATTTGAAATTGTATTTAATTCCTAAAGTAACTGGATATCATATACTTTGGATTTTATTTGGGAGCAGTATTTGGAAACAAAACTTGACCCTTAGATTAGTTACTGGGTTTAGCAAATAAACCTGGTGCACTGGGAAGACCCAGAGGGATCAGGCGGAGAGGAAGGTGGGAGGGGGGATCGGGATGGGGAATACATGTAAAACCATGGCTGATTCTTGTCAATGTATGTCAAAAACCACTACAATATTGTAAAGTAATTAGCCTCCAACTAATAAAAAAAAATGAAAATTGAAAAATATGGAAAAGAAAAAATACAGGAAGCCGGGGACTTCCCGGGTGGTCCAGTAGTTAGGAATCCACCTGCCAGTACAGGGGCCAAGGGTTCCATCTCTGGTCTGGGACGATTCCGTATGCTACAGAGCGACTGAGCCCATAGGCAACAACTACTAAGCCCACACTCGGCAGCAAGAGAAGCCACACAAAGATAAGCCCGTGCACCGCAACTAGAGAGTGGCCCCTGCTCCCTGCAACTAGAGAAAGCCCGGGCGGCAATGAAGACCTATCACAGCCCTAAATAAATAAATAAAAAGTCTAAAAAGTACAGGAAGCTGAGTTAAATTTGAAGTTTTTACTGATATGAAAAAAATTATCCATTATTCATGTGAAATTTAAGTTTAACTGGGCATCTTGTATTTTATCTGGCAACCTTTTCTTAGATAGAGATATTTGCCTTACTTTTCACTGGTAGATTCACTTTTATATTTGAAACCACTGATTTTAGTTAAAAGATGCTCACTGTTTCAAAAAATGTCTTTACGTTAATGTGGTACATAAACTAATTATCTTTCAAAAAACCACATGAACACAGCTTGAGAGAATCATGAGTTTCTTTTCTGAAAATTGTGTCAATCTGATTTTTGTTAAATTGCTGTGATGTGATAATAAACTTTTTAATGTTCTTATGCTTTTCTAGGAATGGTCCACATTGATTCTGGATCTGGGCTCCGTCTCTTCCAAGATATTTCCCCAAATATACAAATTAGGCTCTTTCATTTTCTTTTCTTGCCAGGCCATCTATTACATTCTTCACTCTCAAAATAAAACTAAGTGGTTACAACTTGAGAAGAATATGAATAATTAATATTGATAATCTCAGACAAAATACAACACACTAGCCACATCACTGAGAAGAAAAGTGACTATGAGAACTAAAACATTAATGTCTTTCTTTCCTAAAAATATATATGTGTATGAGCCCAGGGCTGGGGTTAGAAGGCCTGCCTTCTGGTTGAGATTCTGCCCCTGGCTTCTCTGGGCCTCATCTAGTGCTTACCCCTCTACACCAAGCTCTCTCTCTACAAAGTTTAAGATGCTTTGTGGCTTAGGTGTAGAAAAACTATGAGAAATGACTTAATTTTATCACATAACTGTCACATCTACTAAATGAAATGTTAAAAAATAGTTAATTATTT